TTACCAGACACAAAGAAGTAAAAAAAACTGATGGATGAAGAAATTAGAGCATGAAACCCAAATAAACAACCACCACATTTTCAAAACGGATTTGTAAAAACTGTATTTGTTACACTGTGCACAAACCTTTTATACTAAATAAATATCAAACTACATTCTTCAGGAAAAAAAAAAAAGAACCCAAAGCAAGTAGGCAAGCAGAAGGTATAACTGGACAGACAGCTAACATGCAGACCTTTAGCACATGAAAATTTCTGAAACATACAAAGCAAGAAAGTACTAGAACTGAGGGGAAAATATAGACAACTTTGATACAACTTAAGAAAAAAATTCCATCAATAAAGAATATAGTTTTTTTGTTTTTTTAAGTAGGCCCCATGTCCAGCATGGAGCCCAGCATGGGGCTCAAACTCATGACCCTAATATTAAGACCCAAGCTGAGATCAAGAGTCAGATGTTTAACCAACTGAGCCACCCAGGCACCCCAAGAATATAGTTTTAAAGTCAAAGATAATAAAATCCATTCTCAAAAGCAACCATGGCTTTGAAGTAACTATGAGTAAGTTTCAAGAAAAAAAACAACACACACAAATATAGACACACGTACATTTACATATATGTACACATTCATAATACATGCCTACACACCTGCAGATGTATACGTATGCCAATTTTACCACTTGGATAAACCCGCTTCATCTTCCCCGGGGCAGAATGCACAACAATGTAGCAGAGGCTAGGAACGGGCTTAGGGAAAAATCCCACTCATGGAAATGAGGATTTGAAGGAAAAACATCTCCTACTAACTTAATGGCAATCCTGCCTAACTGCATGTATATATCCAATGTAATTCTAATTGGCATTACAGAGGCCTTTTTTTTCCCCTCAGAATTTGGTAACGAATTCTTGGCGAATTCTAAAGAACACTTCAACGAACACATTTATTAGAAAAAAGAAAGAAACAGAAACCCTGTCTGTTGACATATTCAAACCACTGATAGAATAGGGGTGAGTGGATACCAAGCAACACCAACACCAGGGAGACCAACCCTTTCTGGATTCAAACACCATCAGCATTCTCTTTACTACTCAAATCTGCTTATCTCTGCATTTTTCTTTTCCTACTGCAATTGCTCTTTTCTTGACTTGGCTGCAGGGAGCTTCAGGATCACATATTAGCTGTCCTGTGTCTATTTCTCATCACAAAAGTCCCATGAGGGCTTTGGTAAGCTCGGCTTTATCAAATGCTTACCTGTGGCATTCCCACTGTGGGCCTGGAGGGTGGAGTACCAGTAAGTCCTCTTAATTGGTGCCTCTGCAGATAAGGGGTAAGAATCTGTTACTAAAAGGCTAAGGAGTCGGGGAAGACAAAACCAACCTGTCTAATCTGAGCATTGAAAACACCACAAATTGAGAGATTCTAAATTAATTATCATAGGAACAATTGATACCGATTTGTAATGAAGTAAGGTTAGATCCTCACACCTCATCACATACACTGTCAGGTAAAGGTGTGGAGAAGACTAATTTCACTTAAATAATGTTTCATTATTTTAAAAGGGAGGCACACTTGGCATAAAGTCTGATTGTGGAATGTTTTAATAACTCACACCGAGTATTTCACCACATGGATTAAACACACTCTATTTCTCTCCTGTGTGAGTTCTCTGATGTAATAAGGGCTGATATATGGCAGAAAAATGTCTCACATTAATTGCATTTATAAGATTTCACTCCTCTGTGCATTTTTATAAGGCTTTAATATTCTGTAGATTATTTGATGTGTTACTTTGTTGGTCACTGCTTCTCTGGAATTTACCCCTTAGGAGCTTTCTGATGTAAAAGGAAGTTTGACTTGTGGCACAATGTTCTCTTGCATTTATTACATTCGTAGGGTTTCTCCCGTGTGTATTTTCTGATGTTCAGTTAAGAGTCCTCAGCCGATGGTAGGTTTTTCCACATTCACTCCATTCATAGGGTTTCTCTCCTGTGTGAATTCTCCGATGTACTCTGAAGGCTGACTTACGGCAGGAGGATTTCCCACATTTGTTACAACCATGTAGTTTCTCCCCAGTGCGAGTTCACTGATATTCAGTGAAGGAGAACTTCTGGGAGGTTTTCCCACATTCGTTACACTCCCTGGGTCTCTCTCCTGTGTGTCTCCTCTGATGGTGAGTGAGGGCTGACTTCTGGCAGCAGGTTCTCACACATTCAACACAAGCGTACGGTCTCTTCCACATAACGTTCTGATGTTCAACAAGGTGTGAGTTTTTGCTGATGGCACTCCCATGTTCATTACACTCAAAGAGATTCTCCTTTGTGTGTGTTCTCTTATGTTTGTTGCAGTCTGACTTCACCATGAATGCTCTACCACATTTATTAAACACACCATGTTTCTCTCCTTTGTGTGTTCTCTGATGTATAATGAGGGTGGACTCATGACAGAGAAATGTCCCACATTCATTACATATGGAGGATTTCTCTCCTCTGTGAGTTATCTGATGTGCAATGAAGGCCAATTTAGCACACAGAAATTTTCTACACTGACTGCATTCATAGGGTTTCTCCCCTGTATGAGTTCTCTGATGTACAACTAGGGTGGGCTTCTTAGAAAAGGTTTTGCTACATTCACTGCATTCATTTGATTTCCTTTCTGCGCACACCCTCTTCTGTGTAATGAGCTGCCCTTCTGAAGGTTTTCCTCCATTTGTGACAGTCAAGAGGTTGTTATTTCAAAGTCTGAATGTTCTGATGCAGAATAAAGTCTTCATTTTGACTTCTGCCTTTCTTAACTGGATCATATTTGTGTTTTGTTTTTTTTTATTCCAGAATGACTTTTCTCACTCTTAGAGTGGTGGTTTCCTATATCCACTGTATTCATCAGGAATCTTTTTAAAATAGCATTTCAGGGGTGCCTGGGTGGCTCAGTTGCATAGGCGTCTGCCTTCCACTTGGGTCATGATCTTGGGGTCCTGGGATAGAGCCCCACGTTGGGCTCTTTGCTTAGTGGGGAGTCTGCCTCTCCCTCTGCCCCTCCCCACCACTTGTGTTCTCTCTCCCTCTCTGTCTCAAATAAATAAATAAAATCTTAAAAACAAACAATTAAAAAAATTTCTTTAAATACCTTTTCATTGCAACAATTACTTCTGAATTAGTCTTCAAATTGGCTCCACAGGGATCATATTTGTAGGGTATTTTTCTTGAGGGAAGAATATTCATGCCCAGATTAAATGTTTTCCCAAATACATTATTTCTTTCTGTAATCAGTGTTTTATTATTGAGGCATAAAATTTGCTTCAAATGCTGCTTTGGATTTCCTTGTCTTTCTCTAAGACATCACCAACTTCTAGGAAAGAACACAATTAACAGTAACTTGTGAGCCCTTACACATTTGCTATGAAATGAGAGTTACAACTGCCTTGCAGTGGGGGATTCGACTTCAGGCCCAGCCTCCCAGAATTAAGGACATTTCAAGGGCAAAATCTCCTCTGTGGTTGATGTAGGAGAAAACAAAACCAAAAACCAAAACAAAACCAAACGCCCACTCAACCCCCCAGCCTGATTCATAGGGTGAAGGGAAGAGGAAACTACCCTTGGCACAGAACAAGTAAGAGTCACAGGGAACAGTGAGCACAGAGCAAACTGCGAGTAAGGCTGACAGAGGCCTGAGTAAGACAGGCAGGAGTCGAGCAAGCACTTGGAGAAGACAGGGAGACAGTGGGACCTGGACACACAGACCTCACTGACCTTTGTCAGTAGGACAAAGAAACAAAAAGCCGGTGTGAATCTGAAATTTTGGCAGTGACACGGGAACTCTGGAATTTGCACAAATAAAAAGGAGAATGTGGGCTGAGCAGGGCGGGGACTATGGCGAGGCAAGCATGATGTCTAGAGCACCTGCATGACCCTGAGAGTGAGTGTTTTCTTAAATTTGTGCCCGAGATGCCTTGTTTGCCTCACCATAGTCCCACCCTTGTGGGGCTGAGAATGGAGGGTGAAACTGCAATTTCTCAGTTAAAGGATAGAGAGAAAAATGGAAAGTAACTAGTACATCATGTAAATCAAGCAAGATTTCTTTTTCTTTTTTAGAGGCGGGGAGGGGCAAAAGGACAGAGAGAATCTTAAGCCGACTCTGTGCAGAGCATGGAGCCCAACATGGAGCTTGATCTCACAACCCTGAGATTGTGACCTGAGCTGAAATCAAGAGTTGGATGCTCCACCGACTGAGCCACCCAGGCGCCCCAAGATTTATTTCTCTCAAGATGGATCTATGAATGTCTGAATATACAACAAGTCTATGACAATGGTTGGTGGCGGGGTGGTCAGGTAGGCAATAGAGAATGCCACAGAAATAATGTGCAAGGTACGGTGAAGGAGGGACTGGGTTCTGGGGATATGTAACTAAGTGGCAAAAATCTTTATAAATTTTTCAATTAAAGAGAAGAGTATATTTATTTGGGGATGATGTTTTATGTATCTGCAGCATGACAATGATCTAATCCTCCATTACCTCCAAGGTCTGGGGCCTATAAAAAGAGATTCCTGAGAAACATTAGAAAGATGCCAACTATGATCAGTAACGGCTTTGGAACTCTTCTTTCCACTGGTTTCCACCTACTCGGCGATCAGTTACTCACCTGGGTAGTTCTGACCTGAGAATTCCTCCACTATCCATGGCTCTTCTCCTTGCCCCAGTTTGAAGATCACATCTGGTTTGCTAACATGATACCCTGTTAATGGGAAATAACACAGAACTTGGACCAAGCTCTTTGGACTTCAGGGACTCTGAAGGATGAAGAGAGCACAGTTTTAGAAACTACGTAATGAGGATGCCCAGCAGTTCATCAATAAAGCTAGAACATTTGGAGGAAGGCTGGGAGGGGCAGTGGATACACACACACAGTTCTACTGCCTAAATCATCTTTCTTCCTGATGCTCAAGGCTAAATAATTAAATTCAACATGTTTTTGCGACACAGAGCAAATGCATGCTCTTGGGAGCTAACCAGGGAAGCTGTACTCACCCACAGAGACCAGCTGTCTGCAGTTTTCCAGAATCACAGCCCTGTCCAGGAGCCTCCGAGTAGGACACAGTTGCTGCCACTCCTCCTGGGGGGTGAAGTCCACAGTCAGGTCCTTGGATGAAACTGATCTCTGAAAGAATATGTTCAATCCAAGGTGAATAGAATCCCATTGGATTCTTGGGGTGCCCCCTACCCTTTACTTGGGAGACCGCTGTTGTGAATAGTGGAAATCCATAAAGAGATATTTGTTAGCAAGAATTAGAGTTTTATGACCAAATTTATATTTTAGAAGCAATGCTCTAGAGCACAGGGGTCAGCGAACTATAGTCCGTGGGTCAAATCTAGCCCGCTGGGAGCCAAATTTGGCCATGCCCATTGGTCGACACATTACCAACCTGCCTTCATACCACAGTGACTGTGCTGAGTGGATGTGACAGAGACCATGTGGCCCTTTGAAACAATGTTTGCTGTCCCCAACCCTAGAAGAATGGCAAATGGCTTAAAGGTCAAATTAGAGGGAAAGAAAACTAGGACCACACTGTGAGTCATGCCCACGGGTAGTTCTAGTGGGGGTGGGAAGGAGGGAATAGACCCTACATGATGAGGAACAAGGGGATTTGGCCTCTAACTGGTTGTGGGAAATGTAATGTCCAGATTATTTTGCATGATCAGCTGGTAGTACTGTATGCTGAGATTAGGAAGACAAAACCAAAAAAGAACTGACCACAGAAAGCTAGTGCATTGCTATTTAGAATGTTATGCTTGGGTCTGTGGAGCATACAAGTAGAGATGTCCAGCTGGATATTTGGTTCTGAGCTCAGAAGACGGAGAAGACAGAGTGGTAAGCAAAAGCCACAACTGAAGGCATAAATAACAGAGAAGACCTCTATGAACCAATATGGAGTGATTTTTGGGCTATACTGTTAAGTGAAGAAAGCAAAGTGTGAAAGAATATCTATAGTATGCTACCTTTAATGTAAGAAAGAAGGGAATATAAGAAAATGTACAGCTGACCCTTGAACAACATGGGAATTAGGGGCACTCATCCCCTGCACAATCGAAAATCCATGTGTAACTTTTGACTCTCCCCAAAAACTTAACTACTAATAGCCCACTGGTCATCCAGAGCCTTACTGATAACATAAACAGCTGATTAACACATATTTTGTATGTTATACCTATTTTATACTGTATCCTTGAATAAAATAAACTGAGCTAGAGAAAAGAAAACGTTATTAAGAAATATAAAGAAGAGAAAATACATTTATAGTACCGTGCTGTATTTATAAAAAAAAAAAACAACTGCATATAAATGGATCCACGCAGTTCAAATCCATGTTGTTCAAAGGTCAACTGTACATGTAGCCACTTGTGTGTAAGAAAGATAAACAAAAAGATAAACCGGAAACCAGTGAATGGATTACCTTCCAGAGGTATATGGGAACAGATGGGAAGAATAGAGGAGCAGGAATGGGAGATGGATGGGGGGAGGTGACAGTTTTCTAAGTATATCTTTCCATATAGTTCTGCTTCTTAGAACTATGGTAATATCACACACCCCCAGAATAAAAAGAATCAACCAGGATGTGGAATCAAGACCCCATATGGAATATGAACAGAAACAAATGAAACTAACTATAATAAAATTAAGTAACTACAGTGAAGGGGGTGAGAAAGGAAATAAGCAACTTTGGAGAAGAAGGTTTTGACTACATTGCGTAAGGCTAAAGAACGGCACGCAGTGACATGCTAGTCGGGAAATTCGTTTTTCACATGGGGTGTGGATCAGCGATTCTTTACCACCCTCATGTGTATCCTTGAACGAGCAAATAAGTAAATACAACGTAGATTGTGACAGCCAGGTTTCTCCCTGTCAGACAAAGGGGTTATAGATCAAGAAAAAGAAAAGGATAGAATGAACCCAAGAAAACGAATGGCCAGTAAAGTGTCAAGGTCATGAGAGAGAAAGACGGTCCGAGATTGCAGGAGGCTAAGGAGACGTGACAACCAAATGCAATGGGGGATCTTAGGTTGGATCCCTAAGCTGAAAAGGACATTTCTGGGACGACTGGCAAAATTTCAGTAAGATGGAGAGTAGCACTGTATTGATGTAATCTCCCTGGTTTTGATCGCTGTGCTATGGTTTTCAAAGATCAGGGGAAGCAGATGAAGGGTATGTGTGCTTTGTGTATTATTTTTCTAATTCTTTTGTAAGTCTAAATAAATAAAATCTTAAAAAAAATGATCTGAGCATATTACCGTACTCCATTTTACATTTGAACACACAGTATTTTTATGCTTTTTATATAGGGAACACTGTATTTAGTTCAGATTGGAACTTCAGGGATTTCCACTTCTTTTGAAAAATACTGCTAATGGCCATCCTGCTCATGGGGCTTGAATCATGAAACATCGCACCCACGTCTGTGGGAATTTTTAACTTGTCACATTCACAGGGATTCTACCTACAGGTATACACATCAGACTACCTCTCTGACTTAGTATAGTTGTATGTGAGCGTTCCATATTAAAATACATACTGCCCTTTTGGCTCCCTGAGCAGCGCCAAGGCGGTCGGCAAGAACAAGCGCCTTATGAAAGGCGGCAAAAAGGGAGCCAAGAAGAAAGTGGTTGATCCATTTTCTAAGAAAGATTGGTATGATGTGAAAGCACCAGCTATGTTCAATATAAGAAATATTGGAAAAACATTAGTCACAAGAACTCAAGGAACCCAAATCGCATCTGATGGCCTCAAGGGTCATGTTTTTGAAGTGAGCCTTGCTGATCTGCAGAATGATGAAGTTGAGTTTAAAAATTCAAGCTAATTACTGAGGATGTTCAGGGCAAAAACTGCCTAATTTCAAGGTCATGGATCTTACCCGTGACAAAATGTGCTCCATGGTCAAAAAATGGCAGACCATGATTGAAGCTCATGTTGATGTCAAGACTACTGATGGTTATTTGCTTTGTCTATTTTGTGTTGGTTTTACTAAAAAAAATCAGATTCGGAAGACCTCTTATGCTCAGCACCAACAGGTCCGTCAAATTTGGAAAAAGATGATAGAAATCATGACCCGAGAGGTACAAACAAATGACTTGAAAGAAGTGGTCAATAAATTGATTCCAGACAGCATTGGAAAAGATATAGAAAAGGCCTGTCAGTCTATTTATCCACTCCATGATGTCTTCGTTAAAAAAGTAAAAATGCTGAAGAAGCCCAAGTTTGAATTGGGAAAGCTCATGGAGCTTCATGAAGGTAGTAGTTCTGGAAATGCTACTGGGGATGAGACCGGTGCTAAAGTTGAACGAGCTGATGGATATGAGCCACCAGTCCAAGAATCTGTTTAAAAGTCAGGCATTAATGGTGACAAATAAAAAATCGTATTTGTGGGAAAAAAAATAAAATACATACTAACTCCTTTTTTAATTAATTAATTCAATTAATTTGCTTTTATTCCTTTACATCAGGGAATTTTACTGATTTTTAAAAATTATGCAAGTAGGTTCCATTACCTATTATTTCCAAAATAAGATGAAGGGAAGATGGGTTTTAGCTAGGATGTCTAGGAAACAAAGCTGAATCTTATAGGAGGGGCTCCAGCCAGAGCAGTGAGGGTGGAAAGAAAGGATGTAAGCAACGTGGGGTGACGGGCGGCACCACCCTACCCACCACTTCACTACAAGCCCAGACAGGCAGCAGGTCTCTGAGCAGGAGCATTCGGCCAACACGTGGGACCTCGCCACAAGGGCCACATGGATAGTACATGGAGTGGTGAGAGGAAAGGGAACGTTATCTGTCCACTTCCTTCTCATGTCCCACTTCCCTTCAGTCAAGGTTCACCCTGAGGTGAGTTAACTTGCCCACACTTCTGGGCTGCATTGTCTGGTTCCAGGATGTCTCCCCCAGGAAGCCAGATATCACACTTCTCGTGTTGTTTTATCCAGGTCTATAGGAGGGGCAGCCCAGCATGGGTGCAGTATTGACAGAGAGATAAAGGAGATGGGTGAACATGAGGTTTGTGTCCTAAGAGACATTACAGAAAGTGTCCTGGGTCTGACCCCTCACCATGCTTTGTGTTGTCTGCGTAATGTCTAGTTCCTTCACCAGTTCCTGAGCTCCCCGAGGACAGAGACAAGATCTCTTTTATTCAAGCTGTATCAAAAGCATCATGCTGCGCATAGTGTTTGGCATACACTGGCTTGATCTATATGTAGCTGTGGAATGAAAAGGTTCATAGTGGTAGGAATTAAAAAGAAGAAAAAACAGGTCATGACATGAATAGCCTTATCGGTCACACCAATGACCAAAAGAGCCTGGGAGTGGTGTGGAACCACTGCAACAATTTCTGTATTAAGAGACATGACTAGATTGGCATTTTAGGGGGATCACTCGGTGTGAACAACAGTCTTCATGTAGGGAAGGGAAGGAGGCGGGCAAACGGAGAGAGTTATTATGATAATCCAGGAGAGAAAAACTGAGGGAGGGGAAGAGGGCATGGAGGACAAAGAACAAATTCAAGAAACATTTACGATGGGGCGCCTGGGTGGCTCAGTCATTAAGCGTCTGCCTTCGGCTCAGGTCATGATCCCAGGGTCCTGGGATCGAGCCCCGCATCGGCCTCCCTGCTCAGTGGGAAGCCTGCTTCTCCCTCTCCCACTCCCCCTGCTTGTGTTCCCTCTCTTGCTGTGTCTCTGTCAAAAAAAATAAATAAAATCTTTTAAAAGAAAAAGAAACGTTTGTGAGACAACATTCGCAAGACTTGATAAGTGGATATAGAAGGTGAGGAAAAGGAGAGCTTGAGCTGGGCCCCATTATCTGGCCTGTCTAACCTTCCAGATAGTAGGGGCCCTGATAGGGAATGAAGAGGAAGAAGCAAACTGAAAAGACTGGAAATGTTATTTCCATTTTGAACATGAGGACTCCAATGGCCTTCTGGACGTGCTTATAGAGATGCTCAGCAAGTCTCAAGCTGAGGTGGAAAAAGACTTCAGAGCATATAAAGCTGCATGTCAAAACCACAAAGGAGATGAAAAAAACCCAGGAAGAATAATGGGCTAGTAATGTAGGGAAGAAGATTCTATAAAAGATATAAAGAGAGCCAAGAGAACCATGTGGATGATATCAGAGATCATCAGAGGTGCATGTCAGGGAGGGGATGGCCATACTGTCAAATGCAACACAGAGTTCAGTGAAGCAAAGACTGGAAAATACCCGTTGGGTTTGGAAATATTTAGGCTACTGCTAAGTTTTACCAGTACAGATCCATGGGAGTGTGGGGGCAGGGTGGGCAGATCCAAGACTGTATGAAGTGAGTTGAAGTGAGACCAGCAAGTGAGGAAGTTTTACCCACAGGATAGAAGACGGAATTGTTCCCTCTACAACCTGTTTCAAAAGTAGAGCTGAAAGAAATAGTTACAGGACACTATTTGAGGAATAGGTGACCCATTTATTCTCATTTTTATCCCTGGATCATACAGAAGCATCTGAATGGTGTCTACTCAGAGGACAATGAATTGGTCCCCTCCAATAACTGAGTTTTGCCTGCGTATGAAAGTTACGGGAAACCCACTGCATTTCTTTCACGATGTTCTTGCCAAGACTGGCCCCTGTGTCATTTATTCAAAGATCATCTAAGAAAATGTTTGGATATAAATGACAGGAAAACCATTCAAACAGCCGATGTAAGACCTATCTCATATTGTCTGGGCCCTTCTGGATAAGTCTACAGGAACATATGATTTCTGTATATTTATGTCAATTTTTCCAGCAGTGATCTGATACTCTTTTTCCTGATGCTTTATTTTACATATTTCTACCATTTCATTTGAATGTACACATTACTAGAAATGTCTTTGAAATCCACTGTAAAATGTGGGAACTAAATCCCTAAACAACTTACCTGGGATTTGTTCATTTTCGGATGCTCTTGAGAATGGGCCAGGAGTTGGGATACCAGACCTGGGTAAGGAAGAAGAGGAATATAATCATGAGAGGTCTGGCTAACTCAGCAGCTCTTAGGATTACCTATTAAGAAAATGGTCTTATGACCAATCCGGTGAAGGAATATCCACTTGTCCATTTATAATTCTGAAATGATCACAGACAACTTTTCTTACTCAGTGAATATAAACATTTATTTTTTTTATGGAATTACTGTCAGCTTGGGCCTTGGAAAAAATTAAAACTAACCTGAGTGCAATAATAGATTGGATCAATAAAATTCAGGATATACACAGTTTGGAACATGATTCCAGCATTAAAAATAATACTAGGATAACAATACTTATTGGCACAGAAAATGTTGAAATTATGTCATTTACCTATTTTCCTACTAATATTTTTTAGCCATTTGAGAGCAGAGAATCCAAGAGAAGCTCAGAAAGGAATGCAAGTGCTTTAAGATGTTTGCCTTTTTGTCTGGTCTCCCTCAGACGCAGTTTCACCAGAGGATCTTTTGCTAAGAAACTTGTTTTAACTTAAATGTGGTAGAGGACAGAGCCCTGACCTGGAAACCGAGATGTGAATTCAGTTCTTGGCTATCACTAGCAAACTGCATAACCGGAGAAGATATCTGCCTCCTGAGTCCTAATTTTAAAATAAAGCAAAGTTACACAGTTTTAAAAAAAACCTTCTCTTTACCTCCACTTGTGATTCTACAAGGGGGACATTTGATGAATCCCAGGTTTGGTGTTGGACGTGGTTTGAGCAGAAAGAGTGGAGATTACAGGGAATGACACATATGTGCTTGGAAAGTGATGAGAAATTATTTCCTTAGCTATGGCTGGTACCCCTTCCCTCCAGCCCACACCCCCACAAATACTTCAGGGAAGCGTCTTTTCCTGTCCCATCTGCACCCTGCCTTTTCCCTTCTTTTGAAAGTTGAACTAAAAGTTTTGCTGAGCTACAATATCCACGGTCTCTGATATGGTGTTATCATCCAGACTTTGCTCACACTGGAGAGGAAAATTCTGCCCAGTAACTTGAATACGTTCCTTTCAAGGCTTCTTCTGCTTCCACACTGAGATTCTAGGGAGAGGTTTCTGTTCAGGAATATGTTCTCCTAGGTGGGATTTCTGTTCAGGGGGACTGCTGCTTTTTACTTCACAGGAATGGTTTTGTTTCAACCTGGACCTTGGAGCCACATTTCCATTAGCTGGAACCTACACTTGGAGTCCCAAGGGTCAAGTGCCTGGTGAGCTGGACTTTTTCTAGAATCTAATCAGGGCTGCTGAAAAGTGAGACAATGCTTCAGGAGCAGGAAGAGCCTAGAACCCTCATTTTTGCCTCGTGACCTACGGAAAACAAGTCAAACGGTCTATCAAAACATATGGCACAATTGCTTCTTAGGGACACACGCAGGACAAGTCACTGTGCCAGAGAAAACTCAATGGGTGTAGGTAGAGGAAGAGGCATACTACAAAGATCATGAGACCAGGAGTAAAACAGACCTAGTTTGAAAACTCAATCCATTCACTTTAGCTTTCTGCAAATGACGTTTTTAAACGTGCTCCAACAGGGGAAGTAATGCTGTCCCTACAGCCTGGTTGGGAGGATTGAATGAAATGTCTAAAATTCTTCGTAAAATGATAGCAGGGAATACTTATGCAGCACATACTATATTTTTGGCTTGACCTTCGGATCATTTTACCCCGGAACAACCCTTGTGAGGCAAATATGATCACTATGCTCATTTTACAGGTGAGGAAACACGATTAGTCTAAATAACATGCCCAGGGATGCAGTGCTGTTTTGTGACAGGACCTGATCTGAACCCAAACATACATGCTCTTAAAACTTAATGCAATGCTGCCGACACCTCCGCCCCGACCCTCTCAAGTCCCTCAATGAACTCTTTCTCGTCCAGTCAATTCTGCACCCTGGCCCTTCCCTTCAACGGCAGCTCGCATCTTTCTCCTAACAAATACTTAGTGTAAAATAACTAACATAATAATAATAGTATTTATTTCTCATCATGAATATTTGTTCACTTCCCTGCTGCCCTCTAGCACTTTTCAACCCAGCCCGGCAGGCTGCAGATCCACGCGCATCAGTGAAACTTCTGGAATCAGACTTTAGCCATTTGGATGCACAAACCTTTCACCCTCACAAAGCACCTTCTTCAGGCAAAGAAAGGCTGCAGAGAGCGCCCGCCCTGAGGCCTGCGGGACAGGAGGCCAGCCTGGCTCTCGCCGCTCTTCTCCGCGACCAGCGGAAACCCGCTTGGTGACTCCCTCCCGAGGGAGGCGGGGAGAGCTCGCGCCCACCCTCCACGGACCCGGGCCAGCTCCGCCCCGCCCTTCCCTCCGACCCCCGAGGGCCCGGAACCCCCTGCCAGTCCTTCTTCTAACTCGCGGTTGCACCCGCTGCGCTTCCACTTTGCACGAAGTACAGGTGAGCGCGGAACCCAAGCAACTGGAGACTGCAGGACGCGTCCCCGGAAGAACCCTGAGAACGAGAATCGGCGCCAGGCGGAACGCCAGGATCAGCACATGCGCAGAAGCAGCCCCCGGGCCGCCCTTCCAGGGTTCCCCAAGGGGCGGTCGGCGCCTTTTTGAACTACATTTCCCATAAGGCGCCGCGATACCCGCCGCCTGCTTAAGGATTCTTCAAGGAGCGTCTGTTTTGATTACCGGGCTTGATGAATTGCTATGAACCATTAACACAAGAAGAAAAGTTGCCTGTTAACTTCATCGAAGACTATAGCTGAGAAGCGAAGATTACAGACTATGAAATGTCCACCCACATGTTAATGATTCCAAAATCTTTATCTTCCTCCTAAACTTTCCTAAAGAGCACCAGAGCCGTTTATCTTATTCTTTCTACTGTTTTCCCCCTCTGAGCATCAGAAAACACACTGGGGAATAACGCTGCAAACATTCTAAATGCGAGAAAGCCTTCTTTATATCTGAGATCTCGTAGGGGAGCAATCAGAAGAATGTAACCAATACAGGAAAGCCTTCACCTGTTTGGGTGGATCCATATAAACATGTTGAATGTGTGAAAGCATTGTGGAATTCAGACATTATCTATCCAAGAATTCACGCTGAAAGAAAATTTACCAGTGGGGAGTGTAGTAATAAAAAAAAGTATGATATACTCTTAAATAAAACAATAGGCAAACACATATATGAAGCATAATTTTATCTTTTACATATACATGTTTAGATAAAGATATGCACATTTAAGTAGGTATTCATTTAGATGAAATTTAGAAAGATATGCTCCAAAATTAACAATGGTAATCCGTGGGGTATGAGATTATTTAGGAGGAAGAGGGACCTTCTCTTGTGCATATATATATATTTTCTATGATTAAGTAAAATGGATGATTTTTCCATTTTGTGTATGAAAGATAGACAAAGTGAAATGGAAATATAAAGGCATTTTTGGCCCATTAAGTTGAATTTCAAGTGTGTGTGTCTGTGTAAAGAGAGAGAATAGAATACACACACACGTACAAATAGATCTTCATTGAGATAAGCCCTGGAATTGAAAATATTAAATGTTCACTACTTATAGGTACAGGTTCAGGTTGATAAGAAACTTTTATTTTTGATGTTAAGTATTTTTCTTTTTAAAAAATTCCTTAATGTCTCAGTAACTTCTGTCTTTCCTCAAATCATTCTTTCTGCCACCTTGCCATCTGCTGTTAACTGGTCATCTCATCTGTGGTGGACATCAGTTGGTTTTCTTGGTCCTCCTTACATCCATACTATCTTAACAGCACTTCATTTTTTCCTCAGGAGAACTACCACACTTCCATTAAGGTCTGCCACATACACATGCATAGGTACACTGCACAACTCCAGAGGATTCATCCATTTAGATTGCTGAATAGTACCTGCTGAAATTGAGCAGTGCCAAACCTATACAACTGTCAATGGCAGCCATTGAATGATGGGCCAGTAAGTTGCCCGTCCCACTCCTGGCCTAGGTGGAGCCGAGTCTGTCTGATATGGAAGCCTTGAAGCAATTGCCCATTCCTGTTGTGTAGATCTCTGGAGTTATCCTGGTTCTGGTTCTTACCAATTCCAACAAATTCCTTTTTTATGTAGCTCTTCAGAGATACTTTGTGTTGCCAACAAAGAACCCCAATAAGTCACAATCCACACCTCAAGCGGTCTTCAAACTGGAAACCAAATCACAGCAGAGGGTCTTGAGTGTTAAAACTAAAGCTAGTCTTTGTTCGTTATCCATCATTTAGTCACCCAACAATTATTTCTGGATACCTGCTATATGCCAGGCACTGTTCTAGGCTCTGGGAAACAAGAGTGAAAAAGCCCAACACAGTCCCTGCCTTTATGGGATCTGCCTATTCAGAATCTGGTGAGGAAGACCACAATATTTATTAGCCACAACTAGCTATACCATTTCAAATAGCTATAGAGTTCCAAATTGTAAGGAGCTCTGTGAGGGAAAAGAATGGAACGCTGTGTGGAAGATATTTTTAAGTAGATAGCATTTATTTTAGGCTTGCGAAGTGCAAGCACTTTCTATGCTTCCTAACGATCACCCGAACAATGCCGCAGCTTAAATCTGACTGTAGGTCCTATTTCACAGATGCGAAAACAAGACCTACACTAAATAGAAAGATATATCATTAATAATTTATAAATATAAATAGGGTCTTTGCCAGGACCTGGAACTTTAAATACTAAAACTGGGGCAGTCCTGGGCAAACACGGACAAGTTGTCGTTCTAATAAATAACTCCGCTAAGGTCACACTTTAGGGAGTGGTGGGGTGAATACTGACTCCAGATCTAGTTTGACTCCAAAGTTCATGTACACAGTGACCACCCCACAGGTGCCCTCCGATGTGAGCAGTCTGTGGAGAAATGGAGGCGAGCAGGAGAGGCTGAAGGCAGGTCAGCGAGAGGCTGAGGCAATGGTCCAGCAAGAGATAGGAGTGGAGATGAAATCTCCAAACAGTTCGGATCCAAACAGTTACTCCCATCAGTAAAGGTTTGGATCGGAAGGGAGAAGGAGGCAGAAGTGGGATGACTCAAGGGTTTTGGCTCAGGAATGGAGAGGAAGTGATCTGGGGAGGAGGACGATGATTCAAATCGGCCATAGTGCGTGTATCATCCAGGTAGAAATGCTAGAGCACAGCTGGAGAGGAATCTCAGAACTAGAGAATCCTCATGGCTTAGCTTGTCAGAGCCCAGAGACGAGCTGGAGATGAATGCCTCAGGATCAGCCAGGCTTTCTGGGTTGCAAGCAACAGACATTGACTCAGACAAGCATAAGCAAAAAGGGGAACTTTTTAATGAGGATTTTGGGAGATTCCTAGAACCGAGTTAGAACACAGGTGGGAAATAGGGCAGAATGCGTGGCAGGAATCAATGACATCTGGTGGGGATGTCACTGCCACCACTGCACCCAGACAGTGGATGTCCCGCTGCTGTGGCTGCTTCCATTGCCACTGAATAACGGGTACCACCGTTGCTGTTGCTAGCGTAAATAAAATACTCCTGCCTCCCCCTTGCCCCCTGTGCATTTGTATCAGTTGCTGAAGATTCAAGTCCTGGGCATCTGATTAGCTGAACCCAAGTCACATGGCCCATGCCCCAGGTGCCAAGAGAAAAGAAACGCAAGTGTCTGGCTTTTCAGGTTTCCTTAGTGGGAGAAGGTAGCCTGCCTTCTAGCAAGATTTACACATGGGTGATTTCCCACGTACAGAAAGGATGTTCAGAAGTCAAGGAACCAAAATGAACGGATGATAATAAAATGTGTAGTACAACTTCTGCAGCTGTCATGTGCACCCATGCCATTGTATACATGATGCTCAAAGAAAAGTCCTGCAATGTACACAGTTGTCCAAAAGTGGCCCCCAAAAGTTCTCACAGGGCTGCCTGGGCATTGAGCCAGCTGGGTCATGGAGGGGGAGTGCCTCCTTCTTAGTTTCCATGAGACCAGGGGCCCTCTCCGCAGGAGAAGAGGCTGTACCTTCTCATAGTTCCCAGTGTCCCCAAAGGCAGGTGCAGTGCCCAGACAACTCCTGTGAACCACAGGCATCCCCAATCCCTTCTGCCTGGTGCCCGGGCAGTTTGTCGCTTCCCTTCCTTGATGAGGCTGCTTTCACATGCTCCCCCATAAGAAGGGAGAGTAATAGGTGTGGGATCTCTCCACTGGAACACAGCCTACACTGTGAGTCCAGGAAATCACTCGTGCCCTCATTCCTTTCTGAGGGATAATGGTGGGATGGGGGACCTGCGCATTTTCTTCTCTCCCTGACCCTCAACTTGAACTTTACTATCTACACAATAAATCTTATGTTAACCCGTTCTATGAGATGTCTCTGAATTTCACCTGAGTCTGACAAATGGGGCCCCCGAAGGGACCACCTCACCCTAACAATGCTTTGCCAAGGTCTTAGAGCAGTTGGGGCTACCTAGAAAACCCCCTGTCCTCTCCACCCTAGTTTCCATCTCTGACCTGTCTCCCTACCTGTCAATGCTATCTTCTTTGTTCTGGATCCTTTGGTACCTTAAATCCTTCTCTTTTCTTTTTTAAGATTTTATTTATTTCTTTGAGAGAGAGAGAGAGCACACAAGCACGAGCAGGGGGAGTGGCAGAAGGAGAGGTAAAAGCAGGTTTCCCACTTAGCAGGGAGCCGGATGCAGGGTTCCATCCCCGGAGCTCGATCCCGGACCCTGGGATCATGACCTAGCTGAAGGCAGATGCTTAACCAACTGAATCAGCCAGACACCCTAAATCTTTCTTTTTAGAGGAAAAGCTTTTAAGAACTTCCCATCCAGGGTATTAAAGAGGGCACGTTCTGCGTGGAGCACTGAGTGTTATGCACAAACAATGAATCAGGGAACACTACATCAAAAACTAATGATGTAATGTATGGTGATTAACATAACAATAAAAATTTTTAAAAAAAGAACTTCCCATCCACACGGAAGTTTCGGGTTAACTTCTTCTCCCAAGGAAATGTGCATATCTGGGAAAGACAACACTTAACAACTTCAAATAAACACCAACCGTGGGCTGCTGGCACATGTAGAGAAAAAAATGTAAGATTTTTGGGGGGAGGGAATGTCCCAGATTCCCCTCAATGAAAACATGAAGACACTGCCTATAGGTAAGGCTGGTTCCAGGAGTCTTTTTACAGTCCTCCCTCCCTGCACTATGAGGCTGGGTGGTCCTAGAAACCTGGACCCAGGCCACAGGCCCAGAGGACTCACACCCAGTTAGACAAGGCAGGTGCATCCAGCACCCACCTGGCTGCCTCCCCGGGTGCATCAGTCAGGATTCCAGTGCCAGGCTGGCCGTGTCCTCACTCCCTCCCCTGTTAGACTGGGAGCTCCAGAGAGCAGGGGCCCTGTTGGCATCATCTCTGTAGTATGTGAAATGCCCCGCATGTAGCAGGGCCTCAACAAAGTCATGTGTCACCATCAGCGTCAGGAGGGAGGCAGCATTTGGTGTTTATGCTGGCGGAAAAAAAAAAAAAAAAGGCTCCCTGAATTTTTAGGAAGAGTGCACACAGATTCCCAAGAGACCCCTGGTGATAACTCCTACCCTACTCAATTTCTGCAAATGTTCATCCACCCAGGCTGCCATTAGGCCACAGAGTATTTTTGTGTAAATTATAAAAAGGTGCCTCCCTCTTAGATTTGTATATTTATTAAACTGGAAAATTGTTTTACTAAATATACAAATCTAGGCTGTGATGTGAATGGCGACCCCCTAGGGTTGTGCAGTGTACAACCTGCACACCGCTACTAAACAGCCCTGGACACCATTCCCTCCTCCACCACTCCCTCCTCGGTGGAGATAAAGTAGTGGGTCTTGCCCTCAGGTGTCAGGATCCCCTCCCTGTCTGCACATCACGCTCCCTGGTTGCTTCTAAGAGCCCAGTCTGATCTGGGAACAGTCTTTGATGACACTGTAGTCCACAGGGGTGGCCTCCTGGGGAGGGAGCTGGGCCCCCTGCCGGCACTGAGATAGTCCATGGAAGGCCTCCCGGAAGCGCTGAGACATAAGGGCGTAGATGATGGGGTTGACTGTGCTGTTCAGGCAGACGCAAAGGCGGCAGAAGAGAAGGAAGCCACGGTTGAGGTAGGGCGGGCTCAGGAAGGAATTCACCACCACCAGGGGGTTGTAGGGCAGCCACAGCAGAGCAAAAACCAGCACCACCACCGTCAGCATCTTGGTGACCTCCCAGGTAAGACAGGAAAAAAGGGACGCATGGGTGCTGAGGGAGAATCCCCAGTTCCCGCCCTCTCTGCGGGATGCAAGAGGAAGAAGCCAAAAGAGCATCCAGGCCTTTGCCAAATGGTGCCCTCACACATGCCCCCCTTCAGCCCCATCCCCAGCTAGAACACTGCTGCGCATCCTTCCAGGCCCTGCTCAAGTCATTTTCACTGGGGGACTCCCTCCCACTGACACACACCAGCCCCCAACTCACCTCTAAAACCCTTGGACAGGCCACCATTTTTACTGGCAGCAAATTCACGAATCCACTGCCTTCATCATGGCGGAACTTGCAAATTCACGAATCCACTGCCTTCATCATGGCGGAACTTGCAAATTCACGAATCCACTGCCTTC